TAGAATTGGCCAAATGGAAAAGGAGGTAGAAAAGCTCATGGAAGAAAATAATTTCTTAAAAAGTAGAAGTGAGCAAGTGGAAGCTAATGACTCTATGTCTCATAAAAAACAACACAACAAAGCCAAAATAATGAAAAAATAGAAGAAAATATGAAATATCTCATTGGAAAAACAACTAACGTAGAAAATAGATCAAGGAGAGAATTTTAATATTATTGAAAAAACCTGAAAACCATGATCAAAAAAAGTACCTAGGCATAGGGTAAAATAGAAATTGAAAGAATATACCAATCACCTCCTGAAAGAGATCCCAAAATGAAAACTCACAGGAATATTAGAGCCAAATTCCTAAACTCCCAAGTCAAGGAGAAAATACTACAAGTAGCCAGAAAGAAACAATTCAAATATCCTGGAGCCACACTCTGGATAACACAAGATTTAGCAGCATGTATATTAAAGGAACAGAGGGCTTGGAATATGATATTCTGGAGGGAAAAAGAGCTGATTAAACCAAGAATCACCTACCCAGCAAAACTGAGTATAATCATCCGGGGGGTGGGGTGGGGGAGGGAATGGATATTTAACAAAACAGAAGACTTTCAAGCATTCCTGATGAAAAGACCAGAACTGAACAGAAAATTTGGTTTTTAAATGCAAGATTCACAAGAAGCAGGTAAACAGGAAAGAGAAATTATAAGGGATTCAATAAGGTTAAACCGTTTACATTCCTACATGGGAAGATGATACTTTTAACTCCTAAGAATTTTGTCATTATTAGGGCTGTTTGAAGAAGTATGCATAGACAGAGGCCATAGGTGTGAGTTGAATGTGATGGGATGATACCTAAAAAATGAAATTAACGGGTGAAAAGAAGGAATGCACTGGGAGAAGGAGGAAAGGAGAGGTAGAATGGGGAAAATTATCTTAAATATAAAGGAGGCATAAAAGAGCTTTTAGAGTGGGGGGGCGGGAAATGGAAGAAGTTGGTGGAAGGTGGGGGAGTTGGCCTGTAAATCTTACTCTCATCAGAATCGGCTCAAAGAGAGAATAACATACATACTCAGTTGGGTAAAGAAATCTATCTTATCCTACAGGAAGACAGGGGGAGAAGGGGATAAGAGAAAGGAGAATGGGCTGATAGAAGGGTGGATTAAGGGAGGCAGTAGTCAGAAGCAAAACACTTTTGAGGATGGATAGGGTAAAAGGAGAAAGAGAGTGGGATATACAGAGACAAAAATAAGGTAGAGGGAAATACAGAGTAATCACAACTGCGGAAAAAAAATTATAGCAACTTTCTCTGATAAAGACCTCATTTCTCAAATATCTAGAGAACTGAGTCAAATTTATAAAAATAAGAGTCATTCCCCACTTGATAAATGGTCAAAGGATATGAAAAGGCAGTTTTCAGGCCAGGTAATTAAAGCTATCTATAGTTATATGAAAAAATACTCTAAATCACTATTGATTAGAGAAATGAAAATTAAAACAATCCTGTGATACCACCTCATACCTATCAGATTGGTAAATATGGCAGAAAAGGAAAATGACAAATATTGGAGGGGATGTGGGAAAATTGGAACACTAATGCATTGTTGGTTGAGTTGTGAACTGATTCAACCATTCTGGAGGGCAATTTGGAACTATGCCTAAAGGGCTTTAAAACTATCCTTTGACCTAGCAGTACCACTACTACATCTGTATTACAAAGAGATTTTAAAAAAAAAGGAATGAACCTATATGCACAAAAATATTTATAGCAACTTTTTGTGGTGGAAAAAAATTGGAAATGCTGGGATGCCCATCAATTGAGGAATGGCTGAACAAATTGTGGTATATGACTGTGATGTAATACTATTGTGCTATTAAGAAATAAGGAAGATGCTCTCAGAGAAACCTGGAGAGACTTACATGAACTGATACAAAGTGAAATGAGCAGAACCAGTAACATCGTATAATGATCAACTGTAAATGACTTAGCTATTCTCAGCAATATAATTCTGTAGGACTTATGATGAAAAATGCTATCTGCAGAGAAAATACTAATGGAGCATGAATGAAGATCACAGTATACTTTTTTTTTTGTACTTTATCTCTTGGGGGGTTTTTTGGTCTGTGTTTTCTTTCACAACATGGAAATATGTTTTGCCTCACTGCACATATATAATCTATAGCAAATTATTCACTTTCTCAAGGGGAGGATAGTTCCAAATTGCCCTCCAGAATGATTCGATCAGGTCACAACTCAACCAACAATGCATCATCTTTTGGCAATAAATCAGTACCTCCCCACCAAAAAAAAAAAGCCTCCTGTAATTTTAAACTCTGAAATAACTCAGTTATCAGCTGTAATTTTCAATAATTAAATTCTAATTGTCTTTAATTAAAAAAACTTCATGAGAAATACATAAGCAGTTTCAGCTGAAACTATTACAAGCAACAACTAGTTTAAATAGTGGAAGTATAGTAACCCTAAGTATATACAAGTCCAAATCCAAAAAATACAATCCACTCTATCATTGGGATTCAGAAGTACTGGTTGTTGAAAGCCCACTGTATTTACTTTGCTCAAATGCTGTGTCTGAAAACAGCGCAAGATATCATATTGATATTCCAAAAGGGTATGTGCAAAATGTTGGCAAGCCAAGAGACTTTCCAGATAAATTTGGATCCTTTTAATAAGCAAAGAACTAATTTCCAAAGGATCTGTCAGTGGCATCAAAAGGAATGCTTACACAAACTCATATGTCTAAAAGTCTTATTCAAATGGAGTTTTTCAAGTTGTTATGAGAGTAATCAACTTTATAAAACTCAAGTGAAGAGAATGTCTTTGTAAAATTGTGCCAAGGGTGTTCGAGCTAAAGAAATTGCCATTTTTTTCTTAGTGATTAAGTGGAAGCAAATTTATTTCTTGACAAAAATTTCCTCCTTTAACTTGTATTTTGTGGATATTTTTGAAAAAGTGAGTACTGTAAACAACTTCGACATTCTTATTCATACTATGATCCAGAAAGATAATCTAATTGTATGAAAATGTTAGAGATATAGATTAATTTATCCCAAATTTTTTAAATCTTTCTCAATTAAAAAAAAATCTGTTCTGCAGATTAGATAGAAAATGTGTATGATTGATTTGACCAGTCTGCAGGAAGCAATTCTCATTTAAATTACCCAAGTATTTTAAAATATGAATGGCTAAGGAACACATTTGCCATGAACAAATGATATATCTAATTTTACTCCTTCTGAACAAAGATTAACTGAATTATCCTGTGATAGTATACTGAAACAAGTATATGAACCTGATACTATTATTTTGGCTAAGGGTGAATAATCTGGTTTAAGCAAACAAATTGATACAAATTTTACAACCATCTAGAATATTTTTGTTGTAGCTTTTATAAAGATATCAGTTCAATTAGTGGGTGAGAAAGTACTGAGTAGCAAAATTAATGACACATTTTGAAAAATTTGCAGTAAAAAAGCAAGCCGATATTGATGTGATGAAATTTTGTTATAAATATACAAATCATATTTTCCAACAAATCTATTACATCATTTTTGTATACTTAAATTTTAATAAATTCTTGATTTTATTTGAAATAAAATGTAGGAAAAGTCATGAAGGAAATGAAAATGTTTGGAAATCATTAGTATGTCACATAACTAACACTTAATGAACAATCTCCTTTGTTTTCTTTTTTTGAGGCAATCAGGGTTAAGTGACTTGCCCAGGGTCACACAGCTAGTAAGTGTCTAAGGCCACATTTAATTTTAGGTCCTCCTGACTCCGGGGCCAGTACTCTACTCTACCCACTGTGCCACCTAGCTGCCCCTCCTTCATTTTCTAAAATTAGGAATCTCAAATTTAGAAGAAAAAAAATGGCTAGAAGATGCTCAAAGAACAAACCAAACATATTTAAGACAAAAAAGGAGAAATATAAATTTAGTCACCTAAACCCCTGGAGAGTTAGATATCCCAAAATCTCTATCAATTGGAAAAAGCTACTCAATTCCCACTCACTTCTCTAATTATTCCAATTACCTACAGAGCTGACTTTGAAATCTTTGAAAATGAGATGGGTTCTACAATACAAATCAGCCTTAGGGTCATTCAAAAAAAAGCATGACTATATTGGGAAATGAAAATAATGTAAAAACAAAAGAAAATTGGAAAACCTAAGAAAATTGAAAACTGAGAAGCCCAAGCAGCCTTTATACATTTTTGGTCCATTCCTAAATATAGTTATCAAAGGTACTGATTTGGGGCTTACAAAATAGTAAATGTTTTTCCTATAAAAAGGATCCAGTAGTTTAGCATGTGATTATATTCTCTATTAGAGAGAGATGAAGAAGGAGAGATTTCAAGGCGTGGAGGAGAGCCAGTGAAAATGCATTCTAGAGATGGAGTACCTTGTATGAGAAACAAATAACTGAATAGCAGATTATGTGGAAGAGATTAACATATAAAAAGGTAGGCAGGCACCCTGGTCATGAAGGACGTCAAAAGCCAAATACAGAATTTTATATTTGTTATTAGAGGTGATAGGGAATCACTTTAGTTTACTGAATAAGGAGGTGATATAATCAGACCTGTGCTTTAGGAAGATTTTCTACATGAAGAGTACACAACACTAAAGAATCACTACTGGGAGAATTAGTGATTTGACCAATAATATGTAAAGCATTAAGCTTTGCCAAATCAACAATATTGTGATGTAGGTAGAACAAATACTGCAAAATGAGAAAACAAGGTCTGAGAGGTTAAGTGACTTATCTGTGGTCAAACAGCTAGTTATTGTCTTAGGCCTATTAGGTTAGTGGGTCCATGTGTTTTATATATGAGTTGGAAGTAATGCTCATTAAAGACCCATCAAGAAAATGAGAAAAGTCAACTGCAATACCACATTTTACCCCAATACATGCTCCCTGTGGTTATTTAATAGTTGCATATGGATTATCAAGTCTAAAACAAGAGTATATTTTCAATTAAGCAGCAAAACTACAGTGCATATTACAGTTTTATTGAGGCACAACAAGGCATTGTAACTTTACTCAACTTGAGGCAATCAGTGTAGTAAGCTTGAACATTGATACAGTTTTAAAGATTCATTGCAAATAACATACATTCACAGCTTTACTAGCAAGGCTGCATCACAATTTATGAGGTGCTAGATCAATGCTGAGTTAGTAATTCAGGATTTCACTTAGGGAGGGCAGGGAATGGGAAGATGAAAAGAAAAAAGAAAAAAGGCATAGTACCTCCTAATTCCTCCAGAAATAATATTTTTCCTGAAATCATCATAAGTGAATGGTCAATTTCTCCTTTGATCCTTAATCATAAAGAACTTTATCTAGTATAAATCTATAGTAGGTTTCAGTCTTGATAAAGGAGATATCCTGAAAACGTAGAATATTTCCAACTGCTTCCATAAATCGCTCCCCTATGCAAACGTAACCATATCTGGTCTCCCTGGAATAGCTGAAGAATTGCATGATTACTAGCAGTTTCATGGTCTGGAGCACCATCATTAGCATAGGCCGAAACTAAAACTTCTTCATTCTTCATCAGATTGACATACAGTGGAACATTCACTGCCAGCTTTAACATGTGAAAGATGAAAACATAAGTGCCATTCACTGGACAATTAAATCTACCAAGCTGAAGGTCAAAAGTTTCTCCCAAGTTGTTCAGAAGAAGATCAAACACAATAGGCTGGTCCAAAGTTCCAGGGGCCAAATTAGAGGTTCTGGCTGCTGAGAAGGCAACTCTCATCTGCTGGGGAAGAGGATATACATGTACTGGCAAAATGGTGGCTGCTGGACTTGTCACTGGCACATCCACAGGGGTCATGCTACGAGAGTCTCCCTGTCCAGAGTCAACACTGTTGAAGGTTTCATTTTCTCGTTCTGGACTGTTCACCTGAGAAGAATCACTCCACCCTGCTACATAGCATTAGGAACATTGAATGTTTTGAAATGAGGCAATTAGCTTTAAATTTATATTTAACATTAGTTGGCTACAGTTACATAAACATTCTGAACTGAATTCTGCAGTTCTATAAATGAAACATGTAAGCATACCTATGATAGAGTGGCTAGACTTTGAAGGACAATTATTTCCTTAGAGCAAACATTATTCTAGATGGCAATGTTTTTATACTGTTGCATTTCTATATACTGGTGTGCCACAGTGATTTAACTCATCATTTAAGCATCCTTCAGTATGGAAGACAAAACCAATATGGAATCTTGTGAACAAGAGCTGGAAGGAACCTTTAACTGGTCTAGACTTTTCAATTTACCAATAAGGGAAATGAAGACAAAAAGAGTTAAGTTCCTTATTCACGGTCACACAGCTAAGTGATTATGTTCCCTTTTAGTTCTAAATTCATGATCCTACAATTGCTAACTGAAAGGAAAACAAGACCTACAAATTTGGAATACAGGGTAAATAACTACTCAGTGCTTAGTGCCAAGAAAAATGATTATTTTCTTATTATGTTAATAACCAATTTTACATATGGGACTCAAAGGTCCTCTTTTTGCTTTCTCACTCAAAGTTTCTTTCTTTCTTTTTTTTTTAAATTAGGCAACTGGGGTTACACGACTTGCCCAGGGTCACACAGCCAGTAAGTGTCAAATGTTTGGTCCGAGGCCAGATTCGAACTCAGGTCCTCCTGACTTCAGGGCTGGTGCTCTATCTAGTGCACCACCTGACTGCCTCTCAAAGTTTCTCAAGGGCATTTCTGACCTTGCCCCCAAATTTACCCCACCCAGACCATCTTATCTATGTAGAATTATGACCATAACTCTACCATTGTTCAACTTAAGTAGGACTGGGTGGAGAACAGATTCTTTTGTATAGATTTCAGGAAGCAGAATGATCTGGGAGCCTGACAAGATCAAAGTCACATCCCCCAGCCCCTCATTACAAAAAGCCCACCCTTCATTATAATATTAATTCTCTCATTAATTGTTAACCAATCAGAGTTGATTTTCACCCATCAGCAACACCCCCTTTTCCAAAGGTACTTAAGCATTCAGCAATCTCCATGCAGATTCTTGGGTTACGGAGAGAAACCAATGAACTCAATTTATTATTTACTAACCTTATTAATATATCGATTATTAATTACCCAGAAACTCTACCACTTTTCATCTGTCTCAGTTCCATGACAACTCACCTCTTGAACTTGCACGGGAACCACCAGAGAGTCCTCCTCGTTTATAACACTGCTGGAAATTAGTATCCTAAAAGGAATATGTCACAATGTTGATCTCAACTCTTATATTAGCTGTCCATCTGAAAACAGTTAATGTAAAATAGCAACTTGTCTCACAACCCGAGAAGCTAGCTTGTCACCCTGTCATAGTCATAGAAATGGTTATAACAGTCCTTTGTAAGTTACCCCAAACCATAAATTTTACCTTTCTGTAGCCTGAGGAAAACTAGCCTCTCAAGAGGTCAAGATTTCATATTTGTACACATAACAAACATATAAATCTACATACAGATATCTATATCTATACACAAACAAATGCATACATAAACATACATATTTAAAGTAGGTACTTACTTCAGAAGCAATCTCTCTCTTTCAATTAAGTATTTAGTTAATTTGTAATTAGGTAATGAGTAGTTAAGTAATTTTACTCTTTCAAAAATAAAAACAACATAATACTCTTAAAAAATTAAATTATATGCCACCTTCACCATGGTGAGGGTCAGGGGAGGATTCAAATTTTTTGAAGGCAGAGCACAAACTAAACAGGCTTCAGGCATGTATCTAGTGATAAGATGGCATTTCAAATGAAAGCCAAACTGAAGAAACATGTGGAATGTTACACAAAGACCTTTAAAACAGTTTTAAAAGAACCCAAGGATACAATTATGTCTTCTATTTATCAGAAGTGTTAAATCTGATTTATTTTTAAATGTGCAAAATGTTATCTGTTACAGGTAGTAGATCTAGAGCTAGGATCTAAGCTGCAGGCACTTTAGAGATCACCTAGTTCAGCTCTCTAATTTTATACGTAAGGGAATGGAGGCCCAAAAAGATTAAGAGGTTTATTCAAAATCACACAGGTAAGGGCCTCAGATGAATTAGGAACAGAGTATTCAAATGATACACATAGATGAAAAGTAAGGTCCATGCTACAATGAAATCATCAATGGTCAAGAGAAATAATGTTGGAAGATTGCTAGATTGAGAATCAGAGGACCTGGGTTGGGATCTCAGTTCTACAACTCATTAGCTGTATGACCTCACACAAATCATATACCTTTTCTAGGTGACAGATTAGTACTATTAGTTCTGCTACATTCCTAAACCCATTCTGTATTCTCCAGGTTTTTACAAGAATGAGAAAGGAAGATGCTGAAGTTGACTTTCTCTACTGACTCCTTCCAATCTTCATACAAAAATATGCTTTGTCTCCACAACCCTAAAAATCTTTCCCTTCAACCTCCAATACCAGTTAGATAAAAAACCCCAACTCTCATCCTGCACTACTAAACTTCTTTAAAGAGTTATTTTACAGTAAAAAAAGTACACTCCATTTTTCATTACCCAATATCCCTTCGACCCCTTACAATATGGCTTCTTTTCCTACCACTAAGATTGTACTCTCAAAAGCTCACTAAATGAAAGGCATTCTTCTAACTGCCCCCTTCCCCTTTTCTTGGCTAATTTTTGGCTACCCTGTCCTTCAGAATGCTCTTGTCTCCTTGACTTCAGAACCACAAATCTCATTTCTCCTCTGAACTGTAGTCCTTGACTGGCTTTTGTTCTAATTCCTTAAGTCAGCTGGGTCACTTTTTTAAAAAATACAAAACACTGGAAAATTTTTGTCCTTCTTTTTTCAATTAACAAGCATTTATTTCCTCTCTCCCTTTGCACATGCACTACTGGAAAAGAAAAAAGGCAACACCCTTGAAACAAACATGCACAGCTAAAAAAACAACCCACAGTTGCTATGTTTAAAAATGTGTCTTATTTGACATCGAGTCCAACACCGGACAGGAGAGAGGTAGCAGGTTTTATCATCAGGCCTCTCGAATCATGCTTAGTAGCTCATCAGATTTAAAGTTATTCAAAATTTTTCTCTACGTGGCATTGTTTACATTTTTCTCTTGGTTCTATTCACTTCACTCTGAATACAAGACTTTGCAACTTTCTCTCAAACCACACCTTTTTGTTATAATATTCCATTACATTCTTATGCTACCATTTTGTTCAGCCACACCCCTGTTGATGGGAGCCTCTTTAGTTTCCAATTCTTTGGTACTACAAAAAAAAGAGTTACTAGAAATATTTTTACACATGTAGGTCCTTCTCCTCTTTGATCTCTCTGGTTTATTGACTTAGTAATGGTATTTCTGGGTTAGAAGGTATACAAGCTTAGGCACCTTGTGGACATAGTTTCAAACTGCTTTCCAAAATAGCTGGAACAAGGGGCAGCTAGGTGGTGAAGTGAATAGAGCTCTGGCCTTGGAGTAAGGAGGACCTGAGTTCAAATCCAGCCTCAAGACACCTAACACTTACTAGCCGTGTGACCCTGGGCAAGTCACTTAACCTCGATTGCCTAAGGAAAAAAAACAAAAAAATAGCTGGAACATTTCACAATTCTAACAGCATTGAATAATATGCCCATTCCCACACTGCTTGTATATTTGTCATTTTCCTTTTCTCTCATTTTTGTTAATATAATGGGTATGAAATAGAATTTCAGAGTTCTTTTAATTTCTATTTTGCCAATTATTAGTGACGTGAAACATTTTTTATATGGCAGCTGACAGCTTGAATTTCTTCCTTTGAAAATTGCCTATTTATATCCTTTGACCATTTGTCAATTTGGAAATGGTTCTTATAGTTCTAAATTTGTATTAATTCCTTATAAAACTTGAATATGAAAGCGGTGTCAGAAAAATTTACTACAAATTATTTTCTCCGAGTTAACTGCTTCACAAAGGTTCTGTCTTTTCAAAAAGGAGAGGGAGGGTTGAGAATTAGGGTTAAGTAACAACCATTCACTCGTTAATTATCATGGCCTCAAATCATCATCTCTCCACAGATAATCCCCAAATCTGTCACCAGCCCTAATTTCTCTCTCAAATGTCAGACTCATATCTCCAAATTCCTCTAGAACAGGTCTACCTAGGTCCCAGAGGGCAGCTAGGAGGCACAGTGGATAGAGTGCCAGGTCTTGAGTCAGAAAGACCCACCTTCTTGACCAGCCTCAGAAACTTAGTAGCTTTGTGATTCTGGGGAGGTCACTTAACCCTGTTTGCCTGAGTTTCCTCATCTGTAAAATGGGCTGGAGAAGGAAATGGCAAACCTATCCAGTATCTGCTAAGAAAACCCCCAAATGGGGTCCAGAAGAGTTGGACATGACTGAAACGACTGAACAACAACTTATGTCCCACCAGCACCTTGAAATCAATATCCCTAAAGCTACACTTATATTGCTCCCTAAAATCAGTCCCTGACTACGTTCATCATTTCTATCACTAGGACCACTAATCATCTAGTTTTCCATATAGGAAAACTGTAGTAGTATCTTTGGATGTGGAAGGTAAGAGAAGGAGGAAAGAAGTGAAAGAGACAATTCTGTTGATTCTACCAAGCCCTTGTTACCACTTACAAGATTATTGATATGGCTTCCCAATAGGTCTTTTTGTCTTCTTTCTCTCTTCTCTATAAAAATCACTTCTTAACTTCCTAATACTGCTAACTTCCTTTATACGTATATTTGATATTAATCTGCACCAAACTTTTCAATGGTTCTTACTTAGTTGTACCCTTTCAAGTCCAAACTCTTTACTCTGGCATTCAAAGTGCTCCGTAATTGGGCACCAGGTGCCCACCTCCAGTCATCCTGATCTATATCTTGCCACTGGACCCAGATGGCTCCAGAGGAGAAAGTAAGGCTGGTGACTTTGCACAGCCCTCCCTCACTTAAATCCAATTCATTTGCAAGTCATGGCATCACCTTCCCGATGTTATGGTCCTCTTTGAGAACAAAGGACAAACAACAACAATAATTGGGGACCATCCTGCATTTCCAGATGTCCTTATTTCACATCTCCACATACTCTATTTATCAAACTGGACCACTTGCTATCTCCCACACACACTCCCTCTGCCTTTAATGTCTTTGCTTATTACATTCCCATTGTTTAGAATGCTTGTTTAATTCTTACTCATCCTTCAAAACCCAATCCCAAAGCCACTCCCTTTAGCCCAACTCCCAAATTCCAGTAGTAATGCCTTTTCCTTCCACAGAATTCAGTAGAACTGTATGCTTCTCTTATGAACTTTGCTATAATACAGAAGAAAATGTGATGAGAGTAGAGAATGCCCCTCCTCTCCTCCTTCCACCAATGCACATAATAACCTATGACTTATGAGAGGAGGTTCTAGGGAGTTTCATAAAACACACAGGGTTAACTGACTTGCCAGAGTCATGTAACTATAGAATCAAAAGTAGGCTTTGAACCTAAGCCTTCTTAAATGTTATTCCAACATTTCACAATGCTTCTATACTTAGCCATTTAAAACTTTCACATACTAAGCTCTAAGAGGGCAGGGCTTAGAAAATTAAACTTCTGTGTTGCAACTTCTTTATGTATAAAATAGGGTTTATATATGTGCAGGAGAAATGACTCAAGAACTGTTGTGAGAAAAGTACGAAAGTTTTAATAAAATATTACATAAGTATTTTGTCTTCCTCAGCATGTAGTCTAATACTTTACATATAACAGGCCCTTGATAAACGTATGTTGGCATAACCTAAAAATAATGTTTTGTTGTATAGGATTTATATTCTGACATATCTGAAGAGATTTGTGTCAAGTTGTCACCCCAACACACCTTAGTATATTTAGAAACATTCCATTCTTGAGAGATGGCTTTTTAAAAATATTCTAGTGTGGTTACTATTTTAATCCATCAACAAGTGAACCACTATGTATCTTCCCTTACCCTTTGGGAATATGGTGTTCCAGGATATTCTCTAGCTTGGAATTGCAGGTGACTATAACTGCCATTGGCAATGACAGGGGATCCTCTGTAAGTATCAAAACCTAAAAAATTAAAAATTAGCATTGTTAGACTTCTTAAAATATCCTTTCCTTTGCTGAAAAGACTTACCTTAGCTTTTAAATAATATATTATTTTTACAGATTTAGATCTATCGTCATAAATTGACACAAAAGAAAATAGGATGTTTTATGTTATCTAGGGATAAAAATAGGTTCATTAATAGGTGAACGAATAAAATAGGTTCATTAATCTAAATCATTTGGTCAAATCCAGGCCCCTTTTCATATGGTCTCTCAGCTAAGAACAGCTTTTACAGTTAAAAATACAATAAATCTTTATTTAAAAATGTAAAAACCATTCTTAGCTTCCTGGTCAGCTGGGATTTGGCCCATTGGCTATAGTTTGCCAACTCCTGATTAAATCACCAAAAAATTTCTTGAAGACTCTCAGATTGCTGCATATGTTATACTCTGGTCACTGAGGCTACTAGGTTTACTTATTATACAAAGCAAAAGGTTTTTCAAGAAGCAAGAATCAGCAAAGAATTTGATTTCTCATAGAAGAGAGACAAACATCTATCCCAGAAAAATACGGGTAACTTTTCCTGTATTAAATAATTTAATCAAATGTTTTCATTCTATAAAAAAATTAAGGCTTGCCATACATGCTTTAGATACATTATAAACACTCTTCTAAAAGCAGAGGATATTTAAAGAACTTATAGTTTATCACATATGATAAAGGTACATGGTAGAGAGGCAAAAGTCAAGATAATCTGAGTCTGATAAAATCTATGCAGAACCATTAGGGAGCAAAACAAAAGAAAAACTAGGCAACCAAGCACCTGATCATTAGGAATGACTGAAAAAAATTAGAGTATATAAATGTAATTACACCATAACAGTTAATTATGAAGAATTCAGAGAAACTTTTGGGAACATTCCTTCAAAGTAATGCAGAGTGACAGAAGCATGAGAACATACATAATCACTACAACAATGCAAAAAACCCAAACAATACAAAACATCAGAACTCAAATCAATGTAAGCCTCTTGACTCCAGAAAACCAATGAAGAAACAAACCTCTTTCATCTCAGTAGATGCATAATGGGCCCTAAGTGGTAAAAGTCTGAGTTTATTTTGTTTAAAGGTATTTTGTTATAAGATAGTGTTCTTTCAAAGAAAAGCAATGACAGCAGTTAAAAAAAACATAAAAAATACAAAGACAAAAAATGAAGCATAACAGAAACTTATTTAAAACCATACCTTTATACCCACCAGGCGAGCGAAAGGAATTTGTCAGTGATCTCCCACCACGAGTACATCCTCTAATAGATCCTCGGTTACTAAGATATGATTGGGTGGATCTGGGGAACACATTAGTCTGTGCAGGATAAAAGGCAAGGCTACCACTGCTTACTTGAATTGCTCCATCAGGTTGACTGTTTGCTGCATAAGAAGAGTGTTCAAGAGTTAAGAATCAAGAAATGTCAATATTGTTGCTGAATTAAAATTACTGAAAGGGAGAAAACAAAACAAAAACTGATAACTCTGTGTGTGTATATGTGTCTCTATCTGACAAAATTCTGGTAATATAAATGCAATTACACATCACAATCAGATGTAGCTTGGGTCTTCCTGACTTCAATTTCAACATTCCATATAACAAATAGTTTAGATTAAAAAAAATCTTTCTAAGGTAGGAAAGGCCAATGCTAATAAAACCCTTAACCCTAATAAGCCCTTAACAAACATAATTTAAGTTCAAAGTTTTCTTAACTTTTCTGATAGAGCAGGACAGACAGGATAACATTTCAAAATAGCAATCCCATCTTTAATATCGCTTCCCAATATTATACATTGAAAATTACTTTTTTTTTCTTTTCAAGAAAATTGAGGTTAAGTGACTTGCCCAGAGTCACACAGCTAGTAAGTGTTATGTGTCTAAGGCTGGATTTGAACTCTGGTCTTCCTGACTCCAGGGCCAGTGCTCCATCCACTGTGGCACCTAGCTGCCCCTGAAAGTTCTCTTAATAGGTTTTTTCCCTCCCTCATCCTAAATGGGTGTCTGATTTAAGAAAAAAAAAAACACGAAGCATAGTATGAAAATAGGCTAGCTATATAATAGATTATCAGTAACTGCTTTCAATAGCCAGCATTCATAAAGTACTTTAAAGTTTCCAAAGAACTTGACAAATATCTCATTTGATCCCCCCCAACAACCATGGGAGGTAGGAGCTATCATTATCCCTTTTTCACAGATGAGGAAACTGACACAGACAGAAGCTCAATGACTTGCCCAGGGTCACACTTTCAGACATACTTGAATCAAACTGCCAAATGACTGGGTTCATACACACTAGCAATTTGCAATCTCTGAGACCTCCAATGAGTTTGGCAAGAGTACTGTTATGTAAGTCATAAATGAGAGACTGCACAACAGCAAACTGAGAGCCAGCCTCAGTCAGAAAGACCTGGGTTTAAGTCCTGCTTGACCCGTACATAGAATGTTTGACTATAAGCCAATCTCCTAACCTCTTACTGCTCAAAGCAAGTCTAAAATTTAAAGTTACAAATAAGTTGGGAGTTTTCATACCAGAAATCCCCCATCCTGATAAAAATCCAAGTTTTCTGGTCTGGATGAAACATAAAATAAAAAATTATAAAACAGCATTGCACCTAACTAAATGAGAAAGAGTAGTGGTATTTTCAAAGCACTATAAGGTCCCTCAGGGTAGATACTATCCTGCTTCCTTTTACTTGCGTTCCCAGGACTTAGTACAGTACCTGGGATAGAGTAAGTCCTTAACAATTGCCTTTGCCATCCATTCACATTCCAAGTCTTTCTTACCAGTCTGCTCTTGGGAGAGAGTAGTTTGTCCCACATGTGTAGATGGCAACTGGCACTGCGGTGCTGTCTGTGTGCTTGCTGTAGTGTAACTTTGATTATATCCACTTGAATAAGGCAAGTCTTTTATCTCTTGTTCTTTCCGTGGAGGCAAAGGTGCACTCACATTGAATACCTTAGAGAGGCAATTGCATATTTTGAGTGGTTTGCAATTTTTCTTGCAAGAGAATTTCACTGAGAGCTATCTAAAAAAATTCCCCAATGTTCAATACTTGAGGGTAGTTTTAGATTCTTTATAGAATCTTTATAGCATAACCCAGGTAGTGAACACACACAAAAACGGCTAACATAAACAAAACATAAGATTTCCATTTACTCTAATAATTTATTTCGTGTATGGAGAATGACAGATATGTTTTCCACACTGAGGAATCCTTTACTGATTTACTCATTCCCATTCCCATCAGTGTTTATACCCTAGTAGTCTACATTTACTTTCTTGCCTGTTCCTTTAAATGATTAATATACATAGAAACAATTAAGATCTTTTGTATGTCTACCATGCTCAAGACATGGCAAGAAATAAAAAACAGACAATCTGTACCTATAATTTGGTTGAGGACACAAGGAATATGAAGAAGATAATACGTAGATAAGTAGTACAGAAAGTTAAACAAATTCACAGGGGAAAAAAAAAGTTCAATGGAGTTAAAGAAAGCTTTCTATGTATGGGTTTGACATGGTCTAGGAAGTCTTCTCAGAAGAGATGGGCCTTAAGCTAGAAAGGATTCAGACAGACAGATAGACAAAAGAGGCAGCTGTGGCAAGGCTCAAAGAGACAATGTACATGGCATATTCAGGAGACTCTAAACTGTATTGTATTAGAGGCTTCTGATTTTTTAAAGAAGTCATAAAAAAGGTAAAAAATGAATTTGGTGCTAGCATGCGAAGTGCTCTGAAAGTGAGGCTAAAGAATTTGGATCTCACCCTAGTAGTACGAGAAAAACAATTTTTCAGGATCTGGTGGTGGGCTGCTAGGTGGTTCAGTAAATAAGAGTGCCAGGCCTGGAGTCAGGCCAGGAAGTGAGTCGGGAAGACTCATCTTCCTGAATTCAAATCCAGCCTCAGACACTAACCAGATGCATGATTCCAGGGAGGTTACATAACCCTGTTTGCCTCAGTTTCCATCTGTAAAATGAGCTGAAGAAGGAAATGGCAAACCACTCTAGTATCTTTGCCAAGAAAACACCAAATGGGGTCACAAAAAGTTGTGCACAACTGGAAACAACTGAACAACAACAAAAATCTGATGGTAATCTTCTCAGATTTGCTGTCTCTGTACCCTACTGATTTTTTTTTTAATCAGCAAGAAGGAAACAGTGTTCTGGTGATATTAGGTTTGAACTCTGATATACTCTTTTTTAATATATATGTTTAGTATGAAGATTTTTCATGAAATATTTTGATAAATGCTACAAGCCCCAGAAAAAGAGATGTTTTTTCATCCCACTAGGGATAACATATAGCTTAAGTATAAAGGAAATTAAATAAACATCATAGTAACATGAACCCTGAACCATGAATAAATTCCATCCTTGCTGTCTGCATAGTTTGAAACGGTGCTATATTCATGTTTACCGTACTACTGCTTGCTGGAGGTGACTGGAAGACCTGTTCCTGGGAAGCTTGTGACATGGGGGGATTTGCAGAAGGTAGTGAAGTTAGCTGCTTACTTGGAGGAATTGCTGCCTAGGGAAGAAAAATGTTAGGGTTTTCAGCCTGTGATCCATTATATACCACAAGTAGTTAGCTTACACTAAACCCCAGATTGTCACAAGTCAGCAGACTGGGCAGGATGATATTTGGACATAGCCAAACAAAAGATTAGCTTGTGCTTACAATTCAAATCTTGAATGCTGAGGATGCACACTAGTGCTTGATTTGCAGCAGCATGCTGACAAAGGGAAAAGTGTCTTAATTGAGTGCAGGCCTTCCATCAATTTAGAAGATTAGCAGTTGAAAATGCAGCTAATTCACTCTTAAATTTATTATTTTCCAATTAAAACCAATTCAAAATTTGTAAAATTTGGATTTAATTACAGTTCCAGAAAACCCTAAAAATTTCAGCCAATTTTCATTTTCAAATGCTTGTATTCAACAATTTAAGTTACAAAACTGGGGAGAAAGCGCCAGAAAAGTTAAATAAGCCTATTTTAATAGTCAATTCTTAACAAGCCAAAATATTTATCAGTCCATACAAGTGAAGAAAACAAATTATAAAACAAAGGGTTTAAAGTAAATCACACAGTCAGCTACAGGTAAGTTTAACTATCTCTTAACTAGGCATGGTAGCAAGCTTCATGTTCATATTCAGTAGACTATCCACTGCTTAGTAAGACATCATACTAAGAGATGGATCAGCACCTTAAATGAAAGATGAGTTTCAATTCGGCACCAAAACTTAAATATTATTCTAATTTTATTTGGAATATCATTTTATGTGTTTTCCAGAGACTTGCTCTAAAAGAAACTGTAATCACCAGGTATTATACTATGCAAAGAAGCAGTTACCTAGAATTAAAAGCATTTCCATCATTTTGTCAAAACAGCACTCTGACAAAGATAAACAAGAAGGTAGCAGTTAACACGGTGTAGCTAATAGGGTGCTAGATTTGAAATCAGAAAGATATGGGTTTAAATCCTGCCTCTGACACCTAACTTCTCTGTTATCAGTTTCCTCATATGTAAAAAAAAATGCAAATAATACCTGTAGTACTTATCTTAGACTGTTTCAGTGAGATTTTACATAAACGGTTTTGCAAACCTTTAAGTACAATATTGATGTCCATTATTACTGTACCAGTCACTGAGAGAAACAGAGCTACAATAAACCCTCCATTTCAATTCAAAGTGACAAGAATAAATACTTTTTTCTCTAAGTAATCCTAAAGATAGCACATACATTAAGGAAACAAGTCAATTCCTTATAATCTTTCGATTCTTTTGCCTACTATTTAGAAGCTTAAACCTAGTAAAGACAAAAACTTTCCATTCTTATACACAAACTAAAAGCAGTCAGAGTAATGTAGAAAGCATGCACATTTTTAAGTGCCACTTCACAATTTATTTTTAAAAATAAACACTTATATCATGGTTTTCACCCACCCCCTCTAGAAGCCTAAAGACAACAGACAAATAATGTAGAAAATTTTGGGGGGAAGAAGGAATAGTTCTAGGCCCCTGACACATATTCAGGACTACTATTTCTGCCCTTAAAAAAGTCAAAGTAACATTGCCATGCCTCCTACCCCTCAGTGTCTCTCAATATGGGAATCTTCCTGGATTCCTCACTATCTCCCCAATCTTCCATATACAACAGTTTCCAAGACATGTCGATTCACTTTTGCAACATTTCTCAAATATGTTCGTTTCTCTCCTCTGACACTGCCACCTCTTCAGTGCAGGCCCTCATCACCTCACGCTTGGCTTACTGCAACAAACTGCTAGTGGGCCTGCCTGCCCCAAGTGTCTTCCCCATTCTAACTCATCCTCCATTAAGACACTAAAGTGATTTTCCTAAAACACAAGTTTGACCATGTCATCCCCTTACTCAATAAACTCTAGTGCCTTCCTATTTCCCTCCAGGAACAAATATAAAATGCTATTTTGTATTCAAAGCACTTCATAACCTAGGTACCTCACTCCTCTAATTCCAACCCCCTCACCCCACCCCCACTGGCCAGTCTTCTCATACCCTACTCCCCAGCATATACTCTTCAATCCACTTATTACGGCCTCCCGGCTGTTTTACCAACAAGCCATTCTGTCTCTCAGCTCTGGACATTTTTGCTGGCTATTCTCCAAGCCTAGTAAGCTCTACCTCTTCTACTCTGACTACTGACCTCCCTGGCTTCCTTTCAGTCTCAACTAAAATCCCACCTCCTATAGGAAGCCTTCCCCAACCCTTCTTAATTCCAGTGCCTCACCTGTTAATTATCCCTTATTTTTAGTTTGCTTTGTATATATTTGTTTGCATGTTGTCTCCTCCATTAGATTTTTAAGCTCTTTGAGGCCAAGAACTATCTTTTGTCTATTTTTCTCTCCCCAGTTTATCACAGTGCCAGGCACACAGTAGGCACTTAATAAATGTTTACCAACTGAGTGTTCAGATATTCAGCAATGTAAGTGCTCAGCACAAGAACAAAAAGATTAGGCCAAGACTACTGAAACAGCTCCATTTTGTCCAGTCAAAGAAACACTTCATCTCTTCAAATCCAAAGACTTAAATCTACCCCAGTGCTCACGAACTTAATAACATTTTGCTTAGTCACACCTAAAATTTCTAAAAGCTCAACCAGAGTTGCGTGAATGAGTATACTTCATCAACTTTTTATCCTTTACAGTTCTTTATACCCCTCCCCTTTTTTTTTTAGGCAATTGGGGTTAAGTGACTTCTCTATCCACTGCACCACCTAGCTACCCTTTATAATTCTTGAGCATTGAGTATTAGACTCCCCTGGAGTCTAATGATGGAAACAACATGTAAATAATTAAGCACTTTTTAACCTTTACAATTCTTGAACATTGAGTATTAGACTTCCCTTGAGTCAATGATAGAAACATGTAAATAATTATGCACAAACAAAATATATACAAGATAGATTGGATATAATCAACAGAAAGAAGATACTAGTATTAACACATGCAGCATTTTTTATTTGGGTTGGAGAGGAGATTCTGAGTCAGAAATGAGTAGTTTCAATAGAATCATATGTTCAATGCATTTTGGGGGAAGGGTCTGAAACAGAGCTATAATTGATTAGAACATGTGTGTGTGGGGGGGTATCTATAGTCTTGAGCTTGTTATCACCCCAGACTTTTTTTTCCAGCCAAAGACAAGATTTATTAAAGATCCACCATATAAGCCAGACTTGAGGAATATGAGTACTGGCTAGATTCTAAGAATCTGAGAAGTGGCTAGATTATAAGAATCCAAGCACCTTAACGGAGACAAGATGGACCTTATACACAGAAATACTATATAGGAGGGATCTAGGAGTGGCCAAGTAGTCTATGAGGTAATAGAACTCCAGGGAGCCTAGATAGGACTAAGGGTGGGAAGTTGCCTGGGGCCACAGGAAGGTCAATAACATCACCCCAGATTTACTGCCCAATTACACTGCACAACTTTGAGTTCATACCTCCCAATACAATAGGTGAACATTTTAAGGCAGAGAAAGGCATGGATGGACTACATGTGGACCAAAGGGGAGCCTGACACCTTTGAGATTGATTACTCATCTTATTGTCTCCATCATTAGACTGTGATCTCCTTGAGAGCAGGGACTATTTTTTGCCTTTCTTTTATTGCCAGCACTTAGAAGAAAGCCTAGCACATAGCAGGTGTTTAATAAATTTTTACTGTTATTCTGAGTAGCCACAGCAAGTTAAGGCACCTGACAGAACTATATTCCAGTATAGCAGATAATGGAACCTAGGGAATAGGGCATGTTTTCCAATTATGAACTGATTAAAACTAAAAGGTCTTAGTTCCTGTAACTAGGTATGACAAGAGCTTAAGTACCACAGTCCTCACTGTCTTTGCCTATCTTTAGCCTATCTACAAAGCTAAGAGTTAAAATTAATTAATAACCTATAAATATATCTACAAATCTGTAGTTACTGCATATATAGTAGTAACCAGAGCTTAGGAATATGACCTTAAGTCTCACAGAGAATGTAAACTACCCTAAGTAAATGTAAACAGAAAAAGAATCTCCAACGATACCATGGGAAAACTTGCATGTGACCTTGGACCATCCCTGGTTATATGCCTTCTTTATTTTGTTTCTATGTAACACCTTCACCTGGCCTGGAGTTGGTTGGAGGATCTACAATGTTACTTTGGCCTATTGCCACCCAGGACCTAAGCTAACCAAATCAATTCCAACAAAAACTATTAATAACCAAGCTGGTATAAGCCCCTTTTTCTTTGTTATCTCAATATTCTTTCAGATAGTAGGCCACCTTAAAATTGGCAGATTGTACAGATCTACCCAATTACACTGCACACCTTTGAGTTCATACCTCCCAATAACAATTGCTTTATTACAGGCTGAGTCTACTTTCCAAATCAAATTACTATTTCATCTGATTAGTTATTTAGCATTTATTCCTCATTCTACCAAGGCAGAAAGGAGGCTAGCTTGACAAAAATAAAGCCAGGCATTACTCAACACATTAGTCAAACGTAACTATGGAATTATGCAATTAATTGGTCATTACAGTTTATAAGTAAAGATCAGCCCTGTTATTGCTACCTTTACTCAGTGACAAAAGTAAAGCTAGTTTTGCTTTATGATCAGAGTCAATATATCTTTTACCTGAGGAGTCTCTAGCTCTGTTTCAGATCCAGAAGAAGCTTGATCAGCAATCACTAAAGAATTTGTACTATGCTTAACAGGAGAAGCAGCAGCCTAAAGAAAGGAACACAAAAGGGTCAAATTGAAATATAATTTACCGAAAGACACATTTTTGCCATACAAGAGGAGCTTTTTGGTAATGAGTATGACTAAATCAGCAGTAAAATTATAGCACCCACAAAAGTCTGTAAAGTACGATTAGCTCAGGAACTACACTCTAACATCTCTCCTTGTTCTAAAACGATATTAATAAGCAATAATTATAATAATAATAATAATAATAATAATAAGTACTAATAAGCAAGTTATGCATGGAATACTATAATTCAGAAGGCAACTCATACTTATTCCTTTCACTACCAATATATATTTTACTCTATCCCAGAATCACTTATTCCAAGATAATTTATGATAATTTCCAGTGGTAATCAAATTTTACATTACCACATCTTTGACATATCTCTGAGTAGTATATGGAACAAGGGTTTCTCATTAGGAGCTATTTAAGTTATGTGTTCTTAGGAGGTCAACATTAAGAGGACAGATTAAGTGACTAACAACTCTAGAGACTAAGAACTTACTTGTAATGGCTCTTGAAGAAAGTCATTTTGGTTAGGTAGTTTCTGTTCCATGGAAGCTGCAAAATATATAAGTAAGCTAATGTTAAAAGGAATGAGATTTTATTTCTTCCATCTCTACAAACTAGGTAGCAAGTCAAAGCAGGTATTGGAGAAAGTACTAGTTGCAGTTGAGTTACAGCATCTAATGTTCAGTTCATTAAGGGTTTGCTAACGTATTTTTAAAATAAGAAGTTGGAGAAAGATTTGCCAAAAAGGGGAGAAAAGATACCTGCTCCCACTGTTGCACATTGACACTACAAGGATTTTAAAAACAAGGAAAGAAAGTAGTATTTTGAACTTTCATAAAAAGAGCTAAGTTGTTAACTACAGTATATAAACCTCCTCATTTCCCCTATTCTAATATCTTTCCCTCAACCCTGCTATCACCCCCCCTCAAGTTATTGTCTTATTTCTTCTCCAATACCAAATGTGTAGTGACAAAAAAAAAAAAAGGGAAAAAAATTCTGGAACTATAATCAAATCAACTGTCATCACTACTGGAAAGGGTCAATATAACTACATTTATTCTAGCCTTAAAAAACAAAAAACAAATTCCAAGCTGCACATTAAGAGATTCAGTCTCACCTAGAGACTCCTGCTTCTGGGATAAGAACTCACTATTTGACAAAAAACTGGAAAAGAGTATGGCAGAAACTAGGCATAGACCAAAATCTTACACCATATACCAAAATAAAGTCAAAATGGGTTCATGATTTAGATATAAAGGCTAATACTAAAAGCAAACTGGGAGATCAAGGAATGGTTCACCTGTCAGATTTATGGAGAACAGAAGAATTTATGAACAAACAGGAGACAGAGAACATTATGAAATGCAAAATGGATAACTTTGATTACATTAAATTGAAAAGTTTTGGCACAAACAAAACCAATGCAACCAAGATTAAAAGGAAAGTAGAAAATTGGGAAAGAATTTTTACAAGCATTATCTCTGATAAGTGCCTCATTTCTAAAATACATAGAGAACTCAGTCAAATTTATAAAAATACAAGTCATCTCCCAATTGATAAGTGGTCAAAGAATATGAACAGGCACTTTTCAGATGAAGAAATTAAAGCCATCTAAAGTCATATGAAAAAATGCTCTAAATCACTATTGATTAGAGAAATGCAAATCAAAACAACTCTGAGGTACCACATCATATCTATCAGATTGGCCAACATGACAAAACAGGAAAATGATAAATGTTGGAGAAGATGTGGGAAAAACTGGAACACTAATGCATTGTTGGTGGAGTTGTGAAATGATCCAACCATTCTGGAAAGCAATTTGGAACTATGCCCAAAAGGCTATAAAAATGTGCATGGCCTTCTACCCAGCAATAGCACTTCTAGGGCTGTATCCCAAACAGATCATACAAATGGGGAAAGGACCCACATAAACAAAAATATTTATAGTAACTCTTTCCGTGGTGGCAAAGAATTGGAAATTGGGGGGATGCTCATCAACTGGGGAATGGCAGTTGTGATATATGAATGTAATGGAATACTATTGTGCTATAAGAAATGACGAGCAGGTAGACTTCAGAAAAACCTGGGGACTGACGCTGAGTGAAGTGAGCAGAACTAGAACACTGTATACAGTAACAATCACATTATGCGATGACTAACTTTGATAGATTTACCCCTTCTCAGCAATGCAAGGATCTAAGACATCTCCAAAGGTCTCACAATGGAAAATGCTATCCATATCCAGAGAAAGAATTATGGAGTTTGAATGCAGATCAAAGCATACTGTTTACTCTTTTTTTTCCTCCTGTTTTGTTGTTTCCTCTTTCTTGTGGTTCCTCCTATTGGTTCTAATCCTTCCTTACAACATGACTAATGTGAAATATGTTTAATAGGAATGTATATGTAGAGCCTATATCAGATTGAGCGCCATCTTGGGGGGGAAGGGGAGAAAAATTTAAAACTCAAAAGCGTATATGCAAGTGATTTCATTGAAAACTAAAAATAAATTCATAAAAAAATTTAAAAATGCTTATTGAAGTTTTTTCAAAAAGAGAGATATTCAGTCTCATATATAATCCTTTTTCTGCTCCTTTATATAGGGAAATATTTATGCTTGTGAGGTTTATAACAACAAAAAAAAGTGAAAAAAATAAGAATGTAAGCTTGAAGGTAGAAACTATCCTACTTTTGTATTTGTGACTCAAAGTTCGGCACAGTTCTTTGTTCGCAGCAAATACTTTATGGTTTTTCATTTATTCATTATTCACACCTTTAATAATCTGGCTTCTATCCCTACTATTCTGAAATAGCTCACTCCAAAGTCCCTTGACCCTCCTTATCATTAAAGCAAAGGGATTTCCCTCCTCTCCCTCCATCTTCAAATCTCATCCCCATTCTTCCCCATTCATCCTCCACCTACTTCTTGGTACTGTCTTCCTTTGGCTTCAATGACACTATACTTTCATGGTTCAACTTTCGACCATCTCTTCTGCTTTGCGCTGATAACACATCTATCAATGATCACTTCCATAAGCTTTTGAGTTTTAAATTTTTCTCACTCCCTCTTCCCTCCTCCCTTCCCAAGATGGTGCACAATCTGATATATGCTATACATATACATTCCTATTAAACATATTTTCTTGTTAGTGATGTTGTAAGGAAGAATTAGAACCAAGAGGAGGAACCACAAGAAAGAAAAAATAAAACAAAACAACAGAAGAAAAAAATAGCAAACAGTAAGCTTTGATCTGCATTCAAACTCTATAGTTCTTTCTTTGGATGTGGATAGCATTTTCCATCATAAGACCTTTGGAAACATCTTAGATCCTTGCATTGCTGAGAACAGCTAAGTCCATCAAGGTCAGTCATCACTCAACGTGGCTGTTACTGTGTACAACATTCTCCTGGTTCTGCTCACTTCACTCAGCATCAGTCCATACAACTCTTTACAGGATTTTCTGAAGTCAGCCTGCTCATCATTTCTTATAGCACAATAGTATTCCATTACATTCACATACCACAACTTGTTCAGCCATTCCCCAATTGATGGGCATCCTCTCAATTTCCAATTCTTTGCCACCACAAAGAGATGATATAAATATTTTTGTACATGTGGGTCCTTTTTCCATTTGTATTATCTCTTTGGGTATGCTGATAATACATCTTCTTGACCTTAAAATGTGGACATACTCCAAACTTCTGTCCTACACCCACTTCTCATTTTCCTACATAATCACTCCCTTGGTGGTCTCATCCCTTCCATTCTAGGGATGAGAATAGCATCCTGTTCCTTCAAGGCCTAACTCCAGATGCCACCTTCTCCATGAAACCTTCCTTGGCTGGTTTCTGACCTCTCCCTCCCCTACACCCAGGGGAAAATGCTGCTTCACTTTCTCAGATCACTTTGCCTAGGCCTCTCCCTTACATCATTGCAGGCGTCTTTCCCTTTCATCATCATTATTATATTGTACTTTCTTCAAAAGTGGGACATATGTTATATCCAGGGGTGTGCATGAGCTGACTGTACATTATAAATCAGCCTTGAATTATGGTTTCATTGATAGTCCAGACCTAAGAGTGATGGAGAAAATGTTAACGATGCAGATTAAACTTCAAATGCTGATGATTCACAAATCGACTTATCCAGCCCTAACCTCTCTTCAGATTTCTAATCTCAGTCTCCATCAGCCTTTCAGACATTTCCAATTAGATGTTCAGTAGACAGCTCTCTAGTAGTCCAGTTGATTTTAAACTCAACGTGTCCAAAACTGAACCCATTATCTTTTCCACTGAATCCTCCCCCTTGCAAACTTCCTCTGAGGGGACCACCATCCTCCCAGTCACCCAGGCCTACAACTTTAGTGATATCCTTGAGTCTTAGCTTTCACTCGCCAAGGCCTTTTTCATTTATGAAACATCCCTCAAATACCCTTATCTTCTCTGCAGGCCCTTATCTGGTATGGTATGGTATTGGTATACTCCAACTCTGGAACTATTGTAATCGCCTACTAATTGGTTTCCCTGGCACAAGCCCCTCCCCTCTCCAGTCCACCATCCATTCAATCAATCAAATTGACCTTTCCAAAGCACCACTGTGTCATTCCCACGTTCCAGTGGTTTCCTATCACCTCCAGGATCAAATACAAAATTCTGTTTGGCATTCAAAGCCCTTCATAACGCAGCCCACCCTCACACTCCTACCTTCCAAGCATCTTAAACCTTATTTCTCCCATGCCCCCCATGTATTTGGATCCAGTGATACTCTTTGCTGTTTGAAAAACAAAATAGTCCATCTCTCATCTCTGGGCATTTTCTTTGGCTCTCCCCTATGCCTAGAACACTTTCCTTCCTTGTCTCTCCTCCTGGCTTCCTTCAAGTTCCAGCTAAAATCTCACCTTCTACAGGAAGCCTTTATCAATCTCTCTTAATTCGAGTGCCTTCCCTGTGCCCATTACTTCCTATTTATCCTGTACATAGCTTATTTGTGTATATTTGTTTGCTTGTTGTCTCTCCCATTAGATTTTGAGCTCGAAGACGGAATCTTTTACCTTTCTTTGTATCTTCAGCACTTAGCACAGTACCTGACATAGAGTAGGTGCTTAACAATGCTTACTGACTGACTTAAATGTGTTGTGTATATATTTCTCTCCCCCATTACCCTCAGTAAGTTATTAAACATTTACCAACACACCTCACTGGACTTCGATGACTCTGAAGGAGAGAGTGAGACAGATGACTTTGCTCAGTCTCACTCACCCATATCCAATTCATTCAGAAGTCAAGACATCACCCTCATGATGTCATTGGTCCCCTTCAAGAACAAAGGATGAACGACAGCCAGCAACACCCCTGGTTATACCCATGTCATAAAAATTGGAATCTGAGTCACTTCGAAAAACCAAAGTTCAATGGTATCCAATTTTACAGATTATAAGCTTTCAATACATCCAATATTTTGGCTAAGCAGGTTTGAAATCTGTACTAGGTATATAAAACAGTTTCAACCCACCCATAATAATTTCTTAAGGTCCTAGGGATACAAACACAAAAATGAAACAATTCTTGCTCTCAAGAAGCCTGCATTCTAACAAAAAAAAGTTTCACATGTATTTTAAGAATTAAAATCACTGCTAGTATGAAGGCCAACTTGACAGAATATGAGAATATGTACTCCAAGAGAAGCAACCGGGCAAAGCTTCAAATATTGCCATGCTTTATCTCTAAATTATATAACAGGTTGGTATATTCCAAGAAGTAAGTTATTTTAATTTATTCCCTAAATGTTTGTTCCTACCAAATTTCAAAAATCACATAAACACTGGGCAGGTACAAATTACGAGTCAGTTTGGAGTTCCTTCCAATTTGGCAGTATTTTCCAGCAGAATCAATCTTTAGTGTGAAAGGGGGACTGTAACTAAAGATTTCAGACTGATTACATACCTTCAGGACTATCTGGAATAACTGAAGGCAGCTGTGGTGAAGGAATTGCACTTGAAGGCTTGTCAAAATCCAAAACTGATTCCTTAAATTCACCATTTAAAAAAAAAGGCAAAATTAAAGATTATGAAGTAGGAGCAAAGATTATAATTCATTTAAAAGCTCTGTTACCAGCAAGGAAGCCATAAGCTCAAACCTGCCTGTGGTTACTTTTACGATGCATAATATTTTTATTTGTAAGCTGTAGTAAAAATATTAAACTGAGATCCTCCTACAAAAAAAAATTTAGGCAGCTTTTTTAAATAAAGCAGCTGCCAAAATAATTGAAGCTACCTTCTACAACTATATGAACAATTCTCACTTGGGGGGAAAAAAAATTCAACCAATTTCCAAAGCATAATCTTTACATGAGAATATCTTAGCCCTCATTTCTGTGTGGTAAGCCTTTATTCAAGTAAACTAAGAGAAACTCCAATTTATTTTGTCTCAGGCACATAATAGTTCATGTTATTGAGTTGATGATACCCCTTAAACTTGAATTCTCTCTTTCCTCCCTATACCAATCAAATCCAGCCATTCCCTTTCTCGTTTTACATTCAATGACCTTAACTTTTGAACTTCTACGATACTTATCTGACACCACCTGATTTAGCCTAGAAAATCTAGGCTTTTACATAGCTTGATCCAACACAGTTTGTTTTCGGCAAGGCAGATAGGTGGTACAGTGAATAGAGTACCAGACCTAGAGGAGGGAAGACCTGAGTGCAAATGCTTCCTCAGATACTTACTAGCTATCTAACCCTGGACAGGTCATAAAAGAGGAGAAAAAATAGCACCTACATCTCAAGTACCTTGTTGGAAGGATAAAATGAAATAATACTCCTAAGGTGCTCTGCAACCTTAGAGCACTATCTAAGTGCTAAATATCACTACTATTATCTCCCCAAATGAGCTATAAGATATTTGAAGACAGAAACTATCATACTTTTAAATCCTAAACATTATTGAACACACAGTGCATACCCAATTTTGTTCATTTGAAGTAAAGTGCTGACAAGCAATTGTTTTAATGGCCCTACATATTAAAGAGCCACTTAGATTCTTACCTGCATAAAGTTATAAGTTCCCTGAATCTGAGTCATCAGATCCTGAAGCTTTTCTTTCCTTAGAACTGAATCACTTGGAGGGGCAGAAGGGGTATCTGCAGACTGATTCAAAAGCTTAGGCACCTGAAAGGGAAGTCCATAAGGTAGAAGAAAATGCAATTAAATTTTTCTATTAAAAAAATCTTTGCCATTAAGTTACTAAGAAATAATTTACAGTAACATTTCACATCCAGAATCACTAGGAAAAGGGGACTTCACAAGTAAGTGTTCCCCTATCTTTGAAATTTTTAAGCCCTTTTAGATGGGCTCAAAAGTATATTATATTGCTCTCCATAATCTTAAACACAAGCACCATAATTTAATCTTATTCATGATGACTTAGTGTCATCGATGCCATACTGCATAGTACAATGATGCCACTCAAGGGCTGATGTGTATATGCCTAATGACTCATGTAGAAGTGACTGACCAGCTAACTATAATGCAGCCACCGTGTACCATTTAGTAATTGAGAGCCAAGTCCATAAATATGGATTTTCACTTCCTAAGTTTTTTTGGTTCTTTCCATGCTCTAGGAAGTTAAGGTTGCTGTATAAAGTAATCTCCAGATCATCAAAACATTGCCATATTTCACCTTCAAGTTCTACCCTTAAGTATAGTTACACCTATTACTATATGTATTCTGGACCTCAGGCTGTCTATGAGATGAGTTTGCCAAACATATGGGCCTTTCTGATGTCTCAGGAAGCAGATAGGCCCCAACACAAAAAGCCATCCTTATACCAAATTCCATTCAAGAGTAAAACAGTGGTAGAAAGAAGCCACATATAAAGATTCTGATTTTATAAAGAAAAAGGGGGAAAAAAGGTTAACAAAGATATGCTTGAGAACTATGGTTAAGTTTTAGTTTTATAAACACTGGCATAAAATCATATTGTAATTTAACTTATCTGCCAAATTTAGTTCATAAAATACAAAAGAAGAGCAACATTCTGCAGAGGCAACCTTAGAAAAGTAAGGTTAGTGATCATAACATTTTTTTAAAAGGTAGTGCAGGACAAATAAATCAGAGCTGTGGCAATAATTCTGCCACCAAGATACCCTTTCCATCAGACAGATGTAAGCTGGGGGTCATTTATTCATTTTATTCTATGCTTGAATATGTCCAAGGATCACAAGGTTGCAGAGAAAAACCTTGGTTTGAGTTCAACTGTAAGCAAGTCTTTTTTGAGGTGTAAAAGACTGATCAATACAAAAAATTTTATATCTTTAACAAGGGATATATATTTTGCATTGTGGGCAACACAAATGATTTAAAACAAAAGGATTAAAGACACAATAACCCATAGGGATCACAAAAGATTCACTAAAACCTTTCACAATCCATTATAAAGCTTGAACTTGAATGAAGGTATAAATTCTCAATAGCTAAATGTATAATAACAAATAATCAAAACTGTTGGCTCACAAGTGTTTCCTTGGACATAGCTGCTCTTTTTCCCCCTCACTCTATGTTCTCCTATGCAACACTGCTAGCTACTCTATGAATTATCTTTATACCTACTGTTTCACCTCTGAAGGAAACATTTCTATTTCTACCATATCCTAGGGCAAAATTCAAATTTGGATCATATCTTAGCTACCAAAATGTCTTATCTTAACAAATATATACAAACTGGTGTTGGGAAGCCACATCAACAAACATAAGCATGAAAGTGAAGCAACAGGATTAACCATACCAGGTCATTCTTGTGCCTAGAATATTATTTCTAATACAAAGTTTTCGTTATTCCCTAGTGTTTGTGTACATTACCTACTTTTTTACTTTATGATTATGTTGCTATCTGTGTTCTCAGTTCTAAAATGTAAGAGTCACCATTTCAGTACCAGTAACTGTGACTTCAGCACCAAGTTAATTAGCTAGTTTGCACATGAAGAAATTTCACCTCAAACTGAAGTAGCTAAAGACAAATGGAATATTTCAAAGGTAGCTGGATCTTGTAAATAAAAGACAAAATTAAATCTCTTTTGAGCTATTTTGGCAAGGGTTATAAAAAGGGGTCTCAATATAATTAGATAACAAGTTCTCTATAATGCCAACAGAAGAATAATGCCCATCAACTCACATCTTTGGATTCTGAATCATACTTTCTGGTCATCAGTTGCCCATTCATTACAAGGCTTGCGGCTGGAGGTCTCCAAGACTTTGAAGGAGATTGTAACTGCTGTAGTAAAGCCTGTTTTTGACTCTCAACATTGGCTTCCCATGGCTCTGGAATCTCAGGTGGCTTTGTATCTTGCTCTTCATGAACTGAAGCTGGCCAAGACCTAATGGCCTTCTGTTCATTCTGTGCAGGAGTCCAAGATTTGGAAGTCTGTTTCTTTGGCTCCAACTCTTTCTGCAGAGGAGCAACCCAGGGCTTTAGTGACTCTTTTTTCTTCTGTTCCTCCTGACCACAGACCGCATTAGATTTAGGAATGTCTTGTTCCCATGTCCCATGAACTATGTTGGATTTAGAGATTTCTTGGGTCTTCTGTTCTTCCTGAAGATCAAGAGTAGCAGATTTTGGACTCTCCTGATTATCCTGTTCTGGAGTTAACACAGGTTTTGCAGTCTCCTGTTGCTTAACAGAATCCCAAGACATCAGGGACTCCAGCTTCTTCTGCCCTTCTAAGTCAGCAATCACTTCCCAGCATTTTGTAAGATTTGGCTTCCTGGTATAATCTTCTTTCCAAGATTGCTGTCCTTCTGGTTTCTTGCTTGAATACTCAACTTCAGACAGGTAGCGTCTGTTGAGAAACTAAGCCAGAGAAGTCCACTTATGCTTAAGATATAAAATTAGGAAGGTTATTTATTTGATTGAATAAATGTGCCTGTTTTTGCCAAGATCTCTTTCACTATGCTACAAACAAAATCAGAGCAGGCAAATGGACAAATAAAGGAGGAGCATGATATAACAGCCTAAGTAGAAGACACTGATAGAGAAACTGAAGAAAGGGTTCAGAAAACCCTATAGTCCACAAAAACAAAACTATACCTATTTGAGGACTACAGATCACGTCCTAGGTCTTACTTAGTAGTTGTTGCCTTTGATTGCTTAAGGAAAAAACAAAAGACCAGAAGTATCTTTACACTTCTTTGATGAACTCTATTTGGCTTACTGTATTCTACATAGGAAACTACATAGTAACTTAGTATCTTACAAGGAAAGAACACTGTGGCTTATGACTTACTGGGTTAGAGTCTAAAGCATTTGTGTATTATGAACAAATATGATTGATACTAAAAACTAAATAATGGTTTAGCATTTAAAAAATGCTTATTGACAAGAACAAAAACCATATGAAGACACCAACAAAAGATACAGAAAAGGTTTTTGACAGAAGTATGACAATCATTCATGTTTTTCAAAAAACATAGAAGAAAAGGATCTTTCTTTAATATTATAAAAAACATTTATCTAAAACCAAGTACTAATATGATTTGTAATGGAAAAATGCTGAAAGCTTTCCTAGCAGGATCAGGAGCTAATCAATTCTGTCCACGCTCACCAATACTTTTTTGTCAAATAACTAGAAATGCTAACTACAGTAATAAGAAATTAAGAGAACTAGTGTAGGGAAAGGAGTCAAAATTATTACTCTTTGACCAAGACATTAAAGTTAACTTTTAAAAACCCTAGAAAATAAATCAAGAAGACCCCAAGTAACAGCATCAGTAAAACAGCACAATATTTTTAAAAAGCCAAACATCATCAGCATTACTAAGAAAAATCTAGGAGAAATAAAAAAGAATCCATTTAAGATACAACCCTTCTCCAAAACAAAACTAAAGCATAACTAAATATCCAATACTGATGACTAGGTTATACCAATATAAGTATTATTTAAGTTAATCCACAAAACTAATTCTTATCTAATTATCAATTATTTTAAAAAAAGTTAAAAATCACTCAACAGATTTTTTAAAAAGCAATATTCATATGGAGGAACAAAAGGTCAAAAACATCTATGCAAATAACAGGGAAAAAATCAGGAATGAAGGGATTTGGCATTATTTAGTTCTTAAGTTATATCATATAGCAGTAATTACTGTAACTATCTCCTGAACTAAAAAAAATAGAATAGACTGCCTGTCGTTCTAGTCTTTGACAAGCCCTAGAAAATGAAATACTAGGGAAAGACTTCTTTCTTCAAGAAGTAGTGAGAAAACTAGACAGCAGTTTGGTGAAAAATAAGTTTAGACCAGAGTTTTAAATACTATATTGCACAAAAAATTCCAAATGAGTAAACTAAACATAAGGAACCAATTTATTCATTCAAGAGAAAGAATTTGTAAACTTGCAACTTGAATTTGTAAACATGACAAAACACACAATAGATTATTTTGACTATACAAAAATTACAAAACTTTTACATAAGTAAAATGTACCTGGAAAAAAATATTTTCTCCAGCCCATATCTTTGCACAAAGCATCTGATAATTCTGACATACATAATACACAGGGAACCGATACAAATTTAAGATTGTGAGTCAGTCTCCCTTAGCCTGTGGTCTAAGAGTATGAACACAGCAGTGTTGTGTTTTTTTTTAAGTGGCTTACTGTTTTTAATTTTTAAAACTATTTCCCCCAATTACATGTTAAAACAATTTTTAGCATTTTTTTAAAAAAAGTTTTGAATTCCAAATTCTATCCCTCCCTCCCCTCCCCCTTTCCTGCGACAATAAGCAGTTATAGGTTATGCATGTGCAATCATGTAGAACATTTCCATACTAGTCATTTTGTACAAGAAGGCTTGAATAAAATAAAAAGAATTTTTAAAAAGTGAAAAATAGCATGCTTCAGTCTGTGTTCAAACAATATCAGTTCTTTCTCTGGAGGCAGATAGTATGCTTCCTTTGGGAATGTCTTAGAATATTGCTGAGAATATTTAGTCATTCATAGTTCTTCACTGAACAATATTGCTGTTACTGTGTACAACATTCTCCTGGTTTTGTTCACTTCACTATGTATCAGTTTATGTAAGTCTTTCCAGGTTTTTCTGAAATCATTCTGCTTGTCATTTCTTATACCACAATTCCATTACAATCATGTTTAGCCATTCCCCAAAAGACAGGCATCCCATGAATAAGCAATTTCAAAAATAACTCCCTGTTGGAATGGATGCAATAAAACAAATGTATTGCTAGTTGGTTCAACCATTTTGGAAAAGAATTTGTAAGTTACTCTTACCATAGGTTTGTACCAAAAGGATGTTATTTATAGACAACCAGATTTTATCTGTACAAAATTACTCATCTCAATACTATTTGTAACTGAAAAAGATTAGAAACAAAGTATATGACTAATGATTAAGAAATGCCTTAACATATATTATATGGGAATATAATGTTATCACTGTGTCATAAGAAAGATATATGAAGAATTCAAAGAAATTTGGGAAGACTTAAATGAACTAATGCAATAACCAGTGCATTCATAAACCAAAGCAACCATAAAGCCATATACAACAACATTAAAGAAGTGGAGTTTAAATGGCAACAAAATTTATATAAAATATGATGACATATAAAATATGACAAAGTTAGTGTTTACTTTCACAAATGGAAATGATTCAGTAAAAATCAAAATTGGTCCAGATATTCTGTAGTTCCCTCACTTTTATCCACCTAAGAATGTTCCATGAGGAAATATCTTGTATCACTCTTAGATTCTGGGCTTTCAAGATTAGTATTCTACCTTTACCAGAGCATTTACCAGTACCAAGTCAGTGGTCTCCAGGGTACATATGGATGGGTGTTTAACATTCTTAAAGAGCTGCATTTTTATGACTAAAGCCTTGGCCTAAATCTCCTCAAGCCTTACAAGTCAGCCAACCACAAGGTAGTGAACAGAGGAATGCCAAAGAAACTTCTGACATCATCATTCTTCAAAACAAGTTTAAATATCAGAATTCATACCATAACTAAACAACCTTCCTCTCTCACCATGGAAGAGAGGTCTGATTCCTTCCTAATGCTCCCTATACAGTGGAAGAAAATGAAAATAAATCTTAAGACATCTATCTGTCCTCTATAAAAAACTGTATAATACCTACATGTCTCTACTGGACCCATTTACAAATCTAAACAACATGCTGCTAAACCTCTAGTTTTCTTATTATACCCATTTGTTTGAATCTCTTAAAATCAATGTAGATGATAGGCAAGTTAGAACTTCTAAGGTTGGCTTCTCTTTATCACCTCAAAGAGGTAAGAAATACATCAAATAAAATAAAAACAAGAGAAAGACAAACATCATTAAATGAAAAAAAATTCTACAGGGGAAACAAGTAAATTGAAGTGACATGTAAAATAATTTAAGAAATAATGAGGTAAACAGAGGAGAATCAGAAGGCAACAATTTTATTAAAATCCTCAAAAAAGGAAGAGTATACAAGAATTACAGCCATTAAAAATCAGAGCTCTTAAAAGGAAAATTCAAAAAGGAAAAAATGATAGTTTAGGGGGAAAAAAATGTCAGAAAATAAAGCCATAGGCTGAAAAACAGTTGGTGCATCGATGCAGAGTCGTAACCAAAAGTAAAAACTATAGCAGGGGCAGGTAGGTGGCACAGTGGATAGTACACCAGCCCTGGAGTCAGCGTTACCTGAGTTCAAATCCAGCCTCAGACCAAACACTCAACACTTACTAGCTATGTGACCCTGGGCACGTCACTTAACCCCAACTGCCTTAAAAAAAAATTGACTATAGGAGAATCTTTAAAACGCAATAATATGCATAGAAAACAAAGTAAACATGTTGAAATAGCTTGAAATCTTATACTGATTTGGCTTGGAAGTCCCACCTAATCAATAAGGTCATTAAGGGAACAAGTCAAAGTCACCTACAGACATGGTTGATCATAAAATAGTATTCTAGAAGAGAAAAGAGGTACAAGAAACTTAATAGTTCTTGAAATCAGCAAACAACAACTAAAGGTTGTTAAAAACAGAAGAAGGGCAGAGGGGCTCATGATCTATAGGAACCCTGCCCACTTCTATAGGCATTACAATAAACTGCCTCTTGACTGGAAAATGGTTTGAGTGAGTGAATCCATTCCAGGCAGACACTGCCTTGTACCCTAACATTTCAGAGTTCCCAGCAACCCCAAACTGTGTTGTCCAGGTTCCTGGCAACCATAAACCGCAACAATATTATCCCCATTTTACACTTGAGGAAAGTAAAGCAATCAGAGGTTATCCACTTCAATTCTTTGCTGCTACAAATGGTTAACAAAGACAGAGACCAGAACAAGGTAGGTGAACTATTCTACTATGATCTGTCCTGATCAGACCATATTTGGGGTCATGTGGTTGGTTCTGGGCATATTTGGAAAGGGTATTTATGATATGAAGTGCCCTCAAGGGAAGGGCAACCATGAAGGTGAGAGGACCAGACACCATGCTGTAAGAGAAAGATTGGTTGAATGAACTGGGATCATTTAGGCAAGAGAAGGCAAGAGTTATCAACAATAATTGTTAACGCATTTGAAAGACTGTTCTACAAGGAAGAGGGACTAGGTTTGTTCTGCTTAGCTTTAGGGGGACAGAACTGAAAATAACTGGTGGAAGTGGCTGATTTAGGCTCAATATAAGGAAAAGTTTCTTTTCTTTATAACTTTTTTTAGGTGAGGCAATTGGGGTTAAGTGACTTGCCCAAGGTCATACAGCTAGTGAGTATCATGTGTCTGAGGCTGCATTTGAACTCAGGTCCTCCTGACTATAGGGCAGGTGCTCCATCCACTGAGTGATGTAGCTG